CTTCGCTAACGTGCAGGCACACAAAATAAATCTGTCTTTGGACCTAGAAGTGTATAGATCCATCGAGTCCATGTATGGCCTGACTCCTAGATAGGTCATTCAAGACACGAACGTTAGGGTGTCCAAGGCGTTTATGTAAGAGCAGAAAGGAACGTTGCTTACCTGAGGCAATAAGAGCCGCTGGAGGTGCCTCTGGTTTGGCTTGGAACTGATACAGATCCGTGTTGGTAGCCATGAGCGCTTTGATCTTGAAGCGCTGGTCAGTTTGCATAGAGCACTGTTTGCGGTCAAAGTTGAAGCGAAAGTCGTGCTTCACAGCTGCTGGAATTGAAAGCAAACTGAATTGGAGCTGGGGAGCATACAGGACGCCATGAAGGATAAGCTTCTGCATAGTGCCCTTGGAGTCAGTGACTTCCAGATCGACCCGTCCAATGCCTTCGATGGGGATTTGGTTATTACCACCAACCGTAATGGATCCACCACTGGAGGTGATGTCGGTAAACCACTGAGACTCATGGGTGACGTGTCGAGTGCAGCCAGAGTCGATTGTCCAGGTGGGATCGGGTTCTATCTTGGCTTGAGCAGTGAGGCTAAACGGGAGATTGACTGTGGTAGCAACAGCGATGAGACCGGTGTCACGACGTCCTTGGCGAGTTACCTTGCGGTTGTTTCCAGAATTACTGTCGTCGTCATCGTCATTGTCTGACTCAAGCGGGCGGTCCTTGTAGCGATCTTGACCGCGTTGTTTGCCGCCATTTCCGTGCTTGTTCTTGCTACTACTGTTGTTGCCCTTGAAGTCGCGGTTGTTATTATTCTTGCCGTGTCGCCCATTGCCACCTTTGTTCGAGTTCTGGTACCCAGCGTGTGCGTGGGGGTTCGGTGGCGGCACCCGTCAGCCAGGGAGCTGCCATCAACTCAAGAGGGTATTGGCCTCCCGAGGAGAGCTCTGGGGCTGACCTCTTCTTAGAGCTTCTTGTCGCTCCTCGTGGCCTTGTGGGCGGCCACACTTCTAGGGGCATCTATGAACGAGCCCTTGTTCAGAAAGAACAGTTGTTCGTCGACAACGTGAAGGGCTGCTCGGTGTGTGCTTCTCGCGCCACACCGCATTCCCCTTAAGGACTTTACGACTTGTCGTAAGAAGCCCGAGACCCGGGGTGGTCTCTATCCTGTTTGGGATACCCCTGGGTTATGCCCGAGAGCTGTCCCACGTGGAGTTCTTGTGAGGACATGTTCTGGGCGTGGGTGGAGACTCTCAAGTACTCACCCACGAAGTTACGAAATTCGTGGTGACAAACGTCATCATATATTTCGCTCACTATCATTGTGACGGGCCGCCCGTCACGCCATGCCTGTGACTCACGGGCGTGATAAGTTTTCACTGAAAACTGATCAAACTTCAAGGCTGTGTTAGGACAGAATCGTATTAAAACTATAGAACATGTACTTAGGTACTAATAAAACATGTACAGTACAGTACAGTAGAACTCAGTTCTGTGCAGCACAGTCTGTGCCTCATAACAAATCGGCCGTGTCTGATCGTGTAAGAAAGTGTACAGTTGCTTTTATAAATCAAGGGCGCCCAAGGTAATAATGCGAGCATCATTGATTACGTGTTTCTTTGCCCGTAGACATGCTTTTCAAGTCATTTTTAGAAAGGCCAACAAGACAAAAAAACTCGACCCCTTTCGTGGTATCACCTGCGATTGGTCAAAATTAAACCGACCCAACAGTTTATTAAAAGTAGAAAAAACAATATAAACAAACACCGTAAAAAAGCAAACATGTATTATTTTGCTCTACAGGGTGTTTTGGGATTGCAAAGCTTTTAATAACACATTCCGTAGATATGTTTTCCCACGCTCTAATTGTGGAGCCACGACGGCCTTTGAGGGCCCAAATCTTGTGGGGTGGGGTGTCAAAATATATTGCTGTCTCGTAGACATTGTATATGGCGGATTGCTGGAAGTGAGCATGCTGTATCCAAAACTCTATGGCAAAGTTCAAATGGATTTCTTGTAGTGCATCTTCATCCTTTTTAGTAAATTGCGGTTTCTGAACAGAAAAACCATGGCTATAACATTAAGAAAAAATATGTAAGCAATAAATATTGATTAAAAACACAAATAAAATAGGATAAATTGCTAAAACGCTTGATTAAATCAACATATTGGAAAACGAGATGCTTACCGAGCTGCAAACCGCTGGCACATACGCATCAACGCGCTCAATGCGCGCTCAGGAGATGATTTATCGGCTAAATACTGCTCCAGCCAAGCCCCCTGCTCCATCTTCATATACTCGATCATGCCTCCAGTACACAAATACTATATATACACGTTAGAATCTGCAAAAAATAATATAACAAAACAAATTTACCTCTTCATCCCGACGGACGTCTTTCATGAAGGTGACCAATTCGTGCTCAAATGTGATTTTAGTCTTTGCGCCTTGTCCTTTTGTCGTTCTGCTAGTTTGAGGTCCCTTAAACTCAAACAGCAGCTTTGCCTTCTTTCTCCAGCCCTTCAACGTACCTAATGGAATATTAAGCGCCCGAGCGGTAGGCTTACATCCCTCCAGAGCCACCTGCTCGAGCGCTTCCCGTCTCTGCTTGACGGTGTAGCTGTTCTGCCGACGACGTTCGTCCATCACTTCGCAGAAACAGCAATAGCGTGATTGTTTAAACGGCGCCAGCATGGCGTGCTGTCCAGCAATGTATTTG